GTTTTGATTACTTTTAACTTGAAATAATCTTTATGCCATAGTGGCCCATCTTGGGGCAGCCCCCTCTTGCCCCCTCTAATAGGTTCTAAAGTAGTTTTTCTAAAATGTTTGTTGTTAATGAACTTCAATTTTTAAAATTTCTTTTAGTTTGTATTGCTATATCTACAGCAGTTATTTCTCCAAATTAAAACTAATGAAAACCTATTTAACTATAGGACAACATTGTTTAATAGTAACACTACTCAGCATTTATATTCAAGAGTTGGAAAATGGGAATTATTATTTCATTATGAATAAAGGCAAATGTGATTGAAAATTAAAATTTTTAAAAATATTTTATTAAGGTTAACTAATTTCCCAGAGCATTTAGGTTGCTTCAGTTTTTTTGTTTTTTTTAATTGTCCCCATACCCAACGTGGGGCTTGAAATCACAACTCTGAGAGTAAGAGTTGCATGCTGTACTGACTGAGGCAGCCAGGTGCCCCAAACATTAAAATTTTTACCTAAGAAGGGTTTCTATCAAATTATTATGGTTTGCTTCCGATTAGAGAGTTTAAATTTTCCTTAAGCAACTTTTGGGGGTGGGGTGGAGGAGCAAGCAAGCATGGAAGGTGTTAGAGGGAGAATCCTAAGCAGGCTCCACGCTGAATGCAGAGCCCAGTGCAGGGCCTGATCCCATGACTGTGAGATCATGACCTGAGCAGAAATCAAGAGTTGGGAGCTTAACCAACTGAGCCACCCAGGGACCCCTATTTATGTAACTTTTTAATAACAAAAATTTGATTTGGTTATTAATAAAATTATATATATGTAACAACTTCCTGCTGGATTTCAGGGTATCATATATGGAGTGATGGATGGTGCACAACAGATGTATAAAAACTCATTTTTAATATTAGTTACAACATTGTACCTAACCAGCTGTCAGGGGAGACTGACATCTAAACTGAGACTTTAAAGGATGACTAGAGAAAGGAGGAGACAGGAATGAGAGGGAGTGTGGGTTAATGAGAAAGATGGAGATGGGGTCAGTTAATTAGGGAACACATTTTACATTATGTAGATTGTTTCATTTATAAAAATCAAGAAGGAAACTACTACTGGTTGAGTATATGGAGAAAGAAGTATTCAGGAAAATGATTCAGATGGCTTTTGCAGTGGCTTCATGCTAATAATGGGTAATACAGGTGACAAATGTAGAAGAGTAAAATTGGTGGTTGGTCCTACTTCCTACCATGCACAGAAAATGAACTCAGAATGGATCAAAACCGATCCAAAATCAGTCCTTTAGAATCAAAGATCTAAATGGAAGAGCTAAAACTATAAAGTTCTTAGATGCGAATAGAGGTAAATATGAGATTCTGGATTTGGCAGTGATTTCTTAGATATGATATCAAAAGCACAAGCAACAAAATCTAAAATAAATTGCCCTTCGTTAAAATTAAAACTTTTGTGCATCAAAGGATACTACCAATAAAGTGAAAATATAACCTACTGAATGGGAGAAAATATTTGCAAATAATAAACCTAATAAGGGTTAGTATCCAGAAATATAAAGAATTCTTACAACTCAACAACAAACAAGACAACCCAATTTGAAAATGGCAAAGGACCTCAACAGCCTTTTTCCCAAGGAAGATAAAAGACCAACAGGCACATAGAAAGATGTATTACTAATCATCAGGGAAATGCAAATTCAAACCACAAAGAAATACAACTTCACACCACACTAAGATGGCTATAATTAAAAAACAAAACCAAAAGCAAAAAAACCCAGAAGATAATGATGGTTGCTGAGGACATAGAGAAAATGGAACTCTCTCAGACATTGCTGGTGGAAATGAAAATGGTGCAGATGATACAGAACATAGTTTGGCAGTTCCTCAAAAAGTTAAACACAGAATTACTATACGACCCAGAAGGTCTACTCCTACGTGTATACTCCAAAGAAATGAGAAAATGTATCCAAACACTTGTACACATATGTTCAGAGCAGTACTACTCACAATGGCCAAAATAGAAACAACCCTAAATGCCCATCAACTGATAAATGGATTAACAAAATGAAGCATTTCTATAAAATGGAATACTCTTCAGTCATAAAAAGGAATGGAGTACTGTTACATGCTACAACATGGATGAACCTCAAAAACATGCGAAGGGAAAGAAGTCAGATATAGGAGGTTATGTATTATAGGATTCCATTTATACAAAATATCCAGGACAGGTAAATTCATAAAGGCAGAAAGCAGATTAGTAATTGCCGGGAGCTGGGTTAAGGGAAACAGGAGACACTATCAGGCGTCCTTATGGAGTGATAAAAAATACCTTGGAACTAGATAGATAGAATAGTTGCACAATACTGTGAATGTACTAAATGCCACTAACACGCACATTTTAAAATGATCAATTTTATGTAATGTCAATTTTACCTCCACAAAAGAATGAAGCTGATGTTGACATGAAAGATTATGATGATAATGATGATGATAAAATCAGAGTTAACATCTTGTGAGCACTAAACTCCCTTGTCTGGCACATTGCTCAGATTTTTACATGCATTCTCATTTTAGTAGGAATAAGAGAAATAGAAGTAGTATCTTAATAATAATAATAATAATAATAATAAGTATCCTCTTTATCCTTATCTTAAAGATGAGGAAATTTTGGCTTAGAAAGGCTAATTAACTTAACCATCATTACAACACTAATCACAGACAGATGTGACTTTAAAAATCAGTCTGGTTGATATTGTTGGTTGGCTGACCCAACCACCATTTTCAACCCAGTTTTTCCTAGCCACCTTCCTGCCAAAGGTAGATACATGACAAAATTCTGAGATGTAAGCAGAAGTTTACTGTGGGGTTACAGTTCTGCTTTAAAAAAAAAAAAAGCTACCTCTTTGCTATCTGAAACTGAAACAACCACTGTGCAATCATGAACAAAAAAATCAACTAAGGGTTGCTGCAGGGGAGGTGGGTGGGGGATGGGATAAATGGGTGATGGGTACCACAGAGGGAACTTGATGGGATGAGCACTGGGTGTTCTATGTAAATGATGAATCACTAAATTCTACACCTGAAACCATTATTGCACTGTGTTAATTAACTTTGATTTAAATAAATTTTAAAAACAAATCAAGAGCATCTCAGAGTCAGCCAATTGTGAGCCACTCAGCTTTCACCAGAAGCTGTCTAACTCTAGTTTTGGGGGAGAGGGGAAGGAGGGATTTGATTTGTTTGAACCCACTATAATAGGACCTTCTGTTATTTCAAGTTAAAAGCCTCTCTACTGATTCACTGACTGTGAAGTCAAGGCTTTAACCACTACACCGTAACAACTGTTTATATATTGTTCACATTTTAGGTAGCAATTCAAATTTATTATCAGAATTGCCACAGAAAACTTAAGATTGCTATTCTTTTTATCCATATCAAAGTAATAGGTATGGTAATATGATTTTTGTTAATTCAAAGTTTCTTAAGGATACAACTAACTGTATGCTAGAGAACAGATAAGCAATGGAGGAGTATCTCCCATTCAGTAGGTTATATTTTCACTTTATTGGTAGTATCCTTTGATGCACAAAAGTTTTAATTTTAACGAAGGGCAATTTATTTTAGATTTTGTTGCTTGTGCTTTTGATATCATATCTAAGAAATCACTGCCAAATCCAGAATCTCATATTTACCTCTATTCGCATCTAAGAACTTTATAGTTTTAGCTCTTCCATTTAGATCTTTGATTCTAAAGGACTGATTTTGGATCGGTTTTGATCCATTCTGAGTTCATTTTCTGTGCATGGTAGGAAGTAGGACCAACCACCAATTTTACTCTTCTACATTTGTCACCTGTATTACCCATTATTAGCATGAAGCCACTGCAAAAGCCATCTGAATCATTTTCCTGAATACTTCTTTCTCCATATACTCAACCAGTAGTAGTTTCCTTCTTGATTTTTATAAATGAAACAATCTACATAATGTAAAATGTATTGCCTAATTGACTCCATTTTATTTAGTGTATAACAGGAAATCTTGAGCTACATTAGACATATCTACAGTAGGTCCAGGTTTTTTAATTTTTAAAAATTGGCAGGGGTGGTTAGTAAATCTCTGAAGTTTATTTTTTATTTTATTTTATTTTTTTTAACGTTTATTTATTATTGAGAGACAGAGACAGAGCGTGGGAGGGGCAGAGAGAGGGAAGCAGGCTCCAGGCTCTGAGCTGTCTGCACAGAGCCCGACACTGGGCTCAGACTCACAAACCCAAAGATCATGACCTGAGCCGAAGTCTGACGCTTAACTGACTGAGCCACCCAGGTACCCCTAAGTTTGTTTTTAGGTTTAACATTTTACCGCTCAGAATATAGTTGATGAGAAAATGTGATTGCTGCTTTTGTAATCTAATATTGTTTTATTTGGTAATTCTTAGTCTGTATATCTTTTACTGAATGGCATGCCTTGATTAGAAGGTAGCTTACTAGTCCTTTTCTCCCCCCTTCATCTACAGTGTTCAGGATGATGTAGTTAGCTGGGAGAAAGTGGTGGTGGTATGGTAGCCTATACAGGGCTGTTGAATTCTCTTCGTCAGCTTTATTTTATTTTTTATTTTTTTAAAATTTTTTTTTTCAACATTTATTTATTTTTGGGACAGAGAGAGACAGAGCATGAATGGGGGAGGGGCAGAGAGAGAGGGAGACACAGAATCGGAAACAGGCTCCAGGCTCTGAGCCATCAACCCAGAGCCCGACGTGGGGCTCGAACTCACGGACCGCGAGATCGTGACCTGGCTGAAGTCGGACGCTCAACCGACTGCGCCACCCAGGCGCCCCTCTTCGTCAGCTTTAAAAACACAGTCTATCAGTGCAGGATGGATGGGACGGGTCTTACACATTCTTCTGCTAACTGTCCAAAGGTTTCACTTCTAAAGTTGTCTAACTGTTCTAAACAAAGGAGGATATAACTTGCTTAGTTTTTTTGTTTTTGTTTTTTTTTTAGTACTTGATTCTGAAACTTGAAAGGCCTGCTATAGTCCAGAACATCACATTTGGAAAATATGAGAAAACTCATGTCTGCAATTTGAAGAAATTTAAAGTCTTCGGTGGAATGAATGAAGAAAATATGACAGAATTGTTGTCCAGGTAAGTTATGATTACGGGGAAGAAAGAGTTCTCTTTTAAACAAGTTGTAGTCTTAGTTTTGTCTCTTTGTGGCTAAATCTGCATGGTTTCATTTTTTCTTTCAAGGGAGAAAAGAATGTTTCTACTATTGTATTTCTAGTGCCTTATTTTAATATTGTGGCTTGAGTTAGCTTTTTTTTTTTTTTTAACCAACAGCCACTACTAAATATTGTTACTAAAAAAGAAAGAATAAAATTTGGGTTTCTTTTTTCCTACTTATTTTTCAGTCTTATTTTTGAACTGTAAATGACCTCAGTAGTATTTTCAGCGTTAATAAAAATCTTTGCTGTAAAAATTATAGACTCTATCCAAAACATTAAGATCAATTGCCCTAATCCAGAAATAATATTTTGGTCATTTAGTAAAAATTAGAGACTAGAAAGAGAAAAGGTATAAGACTAGCACAGTACCTGCCACTTGGAAGGAGCTCAGTAAATATGAGTTTTCACAACATAGACCACGAGGAATGAAAGTATTAATTTGCCCCATAGATCATGAAAAATCAGATAGCCAGTAGAGTGGGCAAATAAAACCATATTGTTTTAGAATGTATTTATGATATAATATGTCCCATCAGCACAGCATTTTATATGAGTAAATATTACATCTATACTGCATTTGATTTAAGTCATGAAAGTGTTTTAGGACATAAGGCAACCTGAAGGTAAGTGACTTTCCCATAAATACTTGTGTTTCAATCCTAGTTGTTTATATTAGGTGATATGGATTTATTTTTATTTAGGGTGAAGTGGATGCTATTAAACTAATGGAGTAAGGTTGTCTTTGAAAATTTGTTGAGCTATAAAAGGAACATTATTGGCATCTTAATCAGAATTTTCTAATATTTGGCTCTAAGTTGACAGATGTGAGTGTGATTATTTTTAATTTTTTTCTTACTGCTTACATATTTTATGTCATTTTCAGTTACACACTAAGAATACTAGGTCCTATCACACATTTCCCTGCACTGTAGCCACATCCTTTAATTAAGACTGAACATTTTTCATCAACCTTTATATAACTAAGAGAACACAGTTACAATGCAGTTGATGTGAATGTACAAGTTTTGACCTATATTCTCATGTTCAACTACTACTTTACATTGTCTTGGTCATGTATTTTGTTTAACCTTAAGATCTGAATTTGTTTTAGTGTGTTTACTAAATTATAAAGTCAGATTTGATAACCTTATTTTTATTCACAGTGGCTTAAAGAATGATTATAACAAAGAAACATTCACCTTGAAGCATAAAATTGATGAACAGATGTTCCCTTGTCGATTCATTAAAATAGGTAAGGTTTTCAGCATTCTGAAATAGAAATAAATTCTTCATACCATCAGTCAGCAAACTACAGCCTGTGGGCTGAGCTGAATCCTTCAGGACTCCTGTTTTTTAAAACATTTTGAGAACACTGCCACACTTGTTATTCACTGGTTATATAAGTCTGTATCTTGCTTTTGCGCAACAAAGACATAGTTGAATAGTTGCAAGAGACAAAATGTTTACTGCTTGGCCTTTTGCAGAAAAAGTTTTCTGATCCTTACTTTATACATCTATAACTAAATGACAGTTATTTCAAGTGGGACCTTTTCCAAATATTTTTTCATTTGAAAGTTTTCTTAGAAGGTTTAATGAGAGGGGCACCTGGGTGGCTCAGTCGGTTAAGCGTCTAACTCTTGATTTCGGCTCAGTTCATGATCTCAAGGTTTGTGGACTTGAGCCCCCCTTCAGGCTCTGCGCTGACGTTGTGGAGCCTGCTTGGGATTCCCTCTCTGCCCCTCCCCCCCCCCAAAATAAATAAATAAACTTAAAAGAAAAAAGGTTTAATGAGATAAGTGACTTGTTTCAGCTTTGATTGTTTCATAGAGGATTCATCAAATTGTAAAGCTATAACATTCTAAACTAAATACTGATGAATCCCTTAAGGCAATATATTATGGCTATTTCCTATTCTACCTTTTTTTTTTTTTAACTTTATTTATTTTAAGAAAGAGACAGTGTGAGTTGGGGAGGGGCAGAGGGAAAGGGAGACAGAGAATCTCAAGCAGGCTCTGCACTGTCAGCACAGAGCCTGATGTGGGGCTCAAAGTCAGGAGCCGTGAGATTATGACCTAAGCCAAAACCAAGAGTTAACCAAAAGTTAACCAAGAGTTAACGCTTAACTGACTGAGACACCCAGGTGCCCCTCCTATTCTGTTTTTTGTCTTTTTTTTCCTCATTAAACTAATTTTATGGCCCACTAATATGGTGCATTGTAATGTTTAAAAAATACTACCTAAGGCATGTATTTATTTAGCTTAAGACAGTATTTGTAATGCTTCCTTAAAATTATTAATTTTAGGGTTATTTTGCTTTTCTTTAGGATTTATTATTTAGAAGGTAGAAAAGTTGAGGACTTGACAATTTTAATTTGTATCTATGTTGCCTAACTATGACAATATTATCTTAAAATTAGAGTGAATTAGATCCTTCAGAGAATAATAGTAATAAAAGCTAGAATCCCATGTTTTGATTTGAGAGAGAAAAATTCGTCTTTTGGAACAAGTAGTGTACCTCATTGTCATTGCCAACCTATCAAGAGGTGGCCTGTTCATTTCATTGAATCAAATAGTTCTATTGGGCAAAAAGAATATATTAAGGTCTTAATAAAGACTACTCTACAGGGAAAGCTATTCTTAGAACATTTGGGCTATCCAGGGGCCCCTGAGTGGCTCAGTCAGTGAAGCGTCTGACTTTGGCTCAGGTCATGATCTTGCAGTTCATGAGTTTGAACCCCTCATCGGGCTCTGGGCTGGCAGCTTAGAGCCTGGAGCTTGCTTCACATTCTGTCTGTCTGTCTCTCTCTCTCTCTGCCCCTCCCTGCTCATGTGCGTGCGCGCTCTCTCTCTCTCTCTCTCTCTCTCTCTCTCAAAAATAATAAACATTAAAAAAATTTTTTTTAATTAAAAAAAAGGATATTTGGGCTATCCACTGTGCTAATTTCTTTTATAACTATAGTTTCTGTTATTATAATGAATAATTGTAAATAAAAACCTATTTCCTGTTTTCCTGTGAGAATTTATGAAGAAGCAGATTTTTTTACTATGTTTAACTCTTGGTCCTTTTTTCTTTTTTTTTTTAACCAAGTACTGCTTTCCTCAGTTTGTGGACCGCTGGCTCCTACAGCCCTTGCATAGTTACGTGTTTCAGATATACAAGTAGTGAAATATCTTACATTTTCCCACAAAGTACTTCTTCAGCTTCTGTTTTGCTTCGTCATACAAAGTGAAATTTCTTTTTTTTATGTGCTTTATTTGTGCTTTTTTGCATGATACCTACAGTCTTTGGTTTACATTTAAGGAAAATATGTACTGCTATAGCTCTCAGTCTTCTAGTATTTGTCATTAGAAGAAGTGTGAATAAATATCTATTTAGGGAAGTTGCATAGTTTTTTAAAAATTTGTAAAACAGAGGTCTCTTCTGGATGAGTTAGACATTCAACTGCCCGAAGACAAGAAATTGGACCTCTTTCCAGCCCTTTTTGTCAGCCTTTAATTACAGAGTATAATGATGCCTTTTACTTAACCCTGGGTTAGTTTCATGGTTTTCAGGCAAATGTTAACTTGAGCTTTTCAAGTGATTATAGGCACTTACTAACTCATGATATTTAGGATATTAATATTTAGATAACTTCATATTTCTTTTCTATTAAAAGATGTTAGTAATGGTCAGCTGTGTGTTTGCTTTCTAGTCTTTTCAACATTCTCTTGATATGTTTTGTTTGAAAATAAGGTAAATGTGAAACTATTAGGTTAGTATTTTTAGTTTATAAGTGTTTTCTTAAAAGGTCATTCTGAAAAAGCACTTGTGATGTGTAGCTGTCTCTTGGTGGTGATTTAGCAGATATTTGTTTGCCTGGTTGGCATAAATTGTTAGAATGACTTGGATTTCTGTGGATTTTTTGGATTTTTGCAGCCTGGATAGTTGTGGGGGCTTCAGGGAGAAGCTTCAGCTCTGGCTGGATTGGGCCTGCATTCTGGATCCTCAAAAGTATTTAGAAGTCTAGAATGAATACTAAGTCTGGGACGGGTGTGAGTGCCCTGATGGTGGCCCTTTATGAAAGCATGTGGAAAGGTGACATTTTAAAAACTGTACTATTAAGAGGAAAATTAATATAGTAGTAATAGCTTATAATAATAATAGCTGACATTTATTGAGCACTTACTGCATGCCAGTTACTGTGCTAGATGTTTTGTATACTTATTAATTCTATAAGAGAATAGATGCATCCTTTCAGAGTGGTTAGTCTTGAACTTTTAAGATGATCTTTCAGAACTTTAAAATTACTGTCATCTTCTAACAGCTGTTTTAGCCATCTAGATAAGAGTTTCCTAAGGGATACTGCTAAAGCACACTGAATGTGTCACAGATGCATTTCATTGTGCTGAGGTGTTGACC